ATGCTGTTAAGAGCCCTGAAGTCCACACAGCAACGTTGGGTCCCATCCTTCTTCTTTTACCTGAAGAGCCTGTGATGATGACAAATGGACTATGCTCTTCTTACAGAGGTCAGTCAAATATTCTGGAAGTGTATGTCCTTTTTTCACAAGGTACAGGATAGTTCTAGAAACGTGGCGTCACACTAATCATGTGACTCGCTGACGCAACAATACCTTTATGATAGGAATTTGTGATTGAAAGACTACAGAGATTGTTTTGCATTATTAACTTACTTTATGGATTTATGACTAACCTAAATCTCCTATGTTGGCCATACCATTTGAGATATTATTGGGATTACAACCAAAAATATCATTAAAATTAATTGTGGGTATCCAACTCCTCAAACAACGCATGTATTTGTAAGAAAGAAAAGTATATTTAATTAGCTATACTCATTATTGGGTTGATTTTTATAATTGATTGAATAGATAGCTTGCTCTGATTGGAAGTTAGTGTTAATTAATTATTAAATTGTATTATTAATAAAAAAATATGCTGTTAGATATTTTGTTATTTTTATAGTGAATTCTTCTAGAACAGAGATGCAAAGAAGACTTAAAAGTGCAGTCCGGCAATCATCTGATGTTCATGCAGAAAATGATGAGCCAGGAACAAGTGACAAAGAAAGCATCATAGCTAATGAAGAAGATAAAAAGGTAACTGTAACAACTACTGCTACAACAGTCTCTTATGTCATGTGTGCCATCTCTATAGAAACAAATTGTAATACACTCTCCAGTTTTAATCTCAACATTCAAACATTTGTTTAGATAAATATTCTCATGATATCTACATATCTTTGTTATCATCAAACAGTATTTTGTAGAATTCTAGTATACTCAGTTGTTTAGTGACTAGTGTTACTGACAAACTAGTTACTTTAGATATTTTAATTAGTTTAAAAAGTCTTTTACTTTCTAGTGTAAGCCAGAAGTGTTTTTCTTTACATGTTGAAGATATTTTACACAGTGAATTTACTAAAATACTATCTGAAAATAAATGTAAGTTAATGCAAAAAATGGAATGACAAGAACATACTGGATAATATTTCATAGAAAAGGTCATAAAGGCTCATTGAATATACAGAAATGCTCATTTAACTGCAATTATCATAGTTTTATAAAAAACATCTTACCTTTCAACAAATAGTATTGGCTATCCCATTACTTCAAACCACAGTAATCACATTTGATTTTAATTTATTCCTTTTTTTTTGTAGATAACATTTTGAAATATGTTCATGAAGACAAGACACCATGACTACAACTTGATCATTGTTTTTAAAACGTTTTAAACAATTCAATTTTGCAAATGTGATAAAGAAAGTTTCTGAACTAACATTTAATTCTTTGCAACTATTACTATAATTCTGAGCAAAATCTTTCACTGTATTTTTTGTTACTTAATTTCAGTAATTTTATCACATTAAAATGCATAATAGTGGTTAAAGACTTTGTTTTAGTTGTAATCTGAATTGAACTTGAACAGTTGATAAAAGAATATGTGTTATGAGTCTTTAAACACAAACACAAATTTATAGTTTTAATAAAAATTACTAAAATATTTAGTTTAACTACAATGTTAAGTTTACATCATAGTACGTGGAATTTTCTGTGAAATATAAGAGGGTCAAATTCCCCTCCTGCATGAGCCCATGTACTTATTTGGAATTTATTTGTATTTTTCTTGAGTATTTAGTGAAAAGCTCATTGCTACAACCAATAATTTAAAAGTATCTTGAAATATTTTAAGAATAATGTGTCAGTAAAAAAATGCTGTCTGATAACATACAAGTTGTGTATTAAAACTAATGTATAAATCATAGATAATGTTATTTATTGTTATTTAACATGCACATTTTAAGTATCACTGTTTAACAAATTTTCCTATAAGCATATTTCTGGAATAACCTAGTCCATGGTATGAAACAAATGTAAAGTATCTGATGTGTTTAGTTATAATAAGAAAAATAATATCATTGACTTTCCATTTTCACTGTGCTTGTTACAACTGAGATTTTGGGAGTTCTTTTTGTTTAATTGCATAAAGTGTTATTTGTTTTATTATCTAATAAAATAATATTGTAGTATTTTGTTTGGTATTTAGTTATTGGATTTGAAACTTAACTGATTTCTCCATCCATTCTTGAGCATGCATGTAGGCATTAAAAATATTTTTCAGTATTAATTTGTCTTTTTTTGATTACCTGGAAGTAGGATAAAAAAAATCTCAGTGTGGAAAATAACAACAGTGTTGAAATTATGACTGTAGAATGCATCAAAGAACTAGAGCTAATCTTAAAACTGGCTAAACTTATGAGACTTGAAATTATAATTATTGGTAAAGGACATAGAACCTGTTTAAATTGTAAAACTTAAACTCCAGATGTTTTCTTGATCATTGTCTCCAAAAAGTTTTAAATAAATAAATTTTACAAATGTGAAAGAAGCAAGTTTTTAAAATAATAGATGTTTTTCTGAAGAATTGTAAACTTGTTTTGTTGTTAACTGTCAGAAATTACATGTCTTGAATTGTATATCATTTGCATATTATTAGCTTATGTTAGCCTTTATAATAAATATTCCAGATGAAGATTGTTATATTATTATTTTTATGCTATTTTTGTCTCATCTGTCATTACTGATGATGTAAAATAGTAGTTTTATATTTATTTTATATGGAACTTATTTTGTAAGACTGTTATTTGCAAAGATTGGACATAAAATTGTACAAGTTTTCTGTATTAATAAAGAGTTTGTGCTATGAGTGAAGTTAGCCCTTTTTTCACAGATCATTTTATTATCTAATACCAAATGTTTTTGTAATTTTTTCCTTACTCTTATAGTTTCACTGTATGTGTAGCAAGAAAAAGTTAGTTCAGTTTCTATAAACTACTTGTGATAAAAAACCAATAGAAAATTTGGAGCTTAGTTACTTAATACCTTGACAAAAAGTGCTATCAAAATAAAAATCTTACCCTTGGATTGTAGTTCCGCTCTTTTTACAATAAATTAAAAGTGAAGCTTTAGTGAAGGAGGAGGAAACATAAAGGGTGAAATTTGGAACCAGAATTATGAATTACTTGCTCATGGGTGATATACTAATGTCAAATAAAAACCTATAATTTCTGCAGATAATGAGGGAATTGAAATGAATATATTTTTCAGAGAATAAATCAAGCTCAGGCCTTTATAAAATGAGACTGGGCAGAGTGTTGTTTTACACAAACCAAGAACTTTATTGTTGTTTTTTTAACAACAAGATGCTGGAATTATTGTTTTAATAACTTATTACTTAGCATTTGAAGATTTAAAACTGATAGCTCAACAATTGATGTTTACTACAGTATGCTGGAGTACAGAACAGTCACTTGTCATAGATCAAAAACTTGAAGAATTGAGTAATACCACACTTCAGTTAAAGCATTACCTTGATTCAGTATCACATAAAGTAATTACTCCCATAAGAGATCACACTTATTTTGTATTCAAGTGGAACTAACTCTTATTTTTTTACTGAGTGTTGCAGACCACTATATCACTCCAGTTTTGGCTTGGACATGTGTCAACCAATATAACAAAAAATTAGTAACAGCATGACTTCTGTTATGTGAAACCTGCCCAAAACAGAGATTAACATAAGGTCGAGCTAACTACATCCTTTTCTCATGTATTCTAACTAAATGTAAGAATGTCTGCATAAACATTTGAAAGCAGCCTACCTGAATATTCCCAAAGAAGATATATTAATATACTAATTATAGAATAGTAAATATCTACCTCACTCAGTTCTAACTTCTAGAAATTGCTTCCTTGAAGTAACAAAGATGCCATGACACTGAAACATCATACAAATAAAATAATTTTTTATTGAAACACTAAGGCTCTAAGAGCCAAAACAAATAAACTAAAGTAAAACTCAAACCAAAACTTGGGATATTACTCAAAGTGAAATCAAATAAAACTTGACATAATAGTAATAAAACTTGGGGCAAAATAAGCTCAAATTCATAAAAAAAAAAAAATTGAATATAGATAAATAAGTAAGATACAGGTGAAATTTATACAAAACAATAAGGTATAATATAAAATGCAATGAAAGTTTACATACAAGTATGAAATGAATGACACTGAAATAATCATGAGTGAAACCATAGTTTCACATGCTTAGACCAACCAAGGCTAAATACAATACTCTAGAGTAAAACCAATTTACTATCCTAGACAGCTACCAACATCAGTAATTAAATGAGCAACATATAGTGTCTCCATATGTGGCTCACTCAACTAACTTCAGTTGGCATCATAGAAAAATAAACAGGAAAATTCAGTGAAACAAAAAATATTCCACAAAAATTCATAACAACTTGATTCACCTTCTCGGGAGAATCTAGTCAGTATCATGTGTTCTGCTCCGACTTCCACCTCTTGACATAGGGGGAGTGATTTTTATGAAATGGCAGACATAGAAACTCATTTGCTTGCTTGGAAAATAAGAGTCACAATGTCCTTTTAGCTGAGTTTCTGAACTTCTAGCAATAATCCTAAGTCATATTAGCTGTTCATAAGCTAGGCACTTTGTTTACTAGCACCAGCAAAGCAACTATCACATAATATCCTGTAGATATTTCTCAACAAAACTACTTGGTAAGTAAGCATCAAAATGTCGTTTCAGTCCAGTTCATCTTGCATCAACCAACCATCCTTACGGTAATAATCAAGTGGGAATCAAACACATAATGCATACATTTCACACTGAAACACAGTTGATAGCTTAGAAAAGAAGGAACAGCACTTCCTTTCAGTCACTGGTCTAAAGATCATTTGACTGCCCTAGCTGCTGCTCTGGCAGTTAATCCCAGCCATAGTGATTAGGAGATTGTTGTCGACATTTTACCGATTACAAGAACTGTTGTCTAGTTCCTCTTCCCATGGCCCTTCCTCATCTAATTCATTTTACACAGCCAAATGAATGCTTTTGAACTCTTTCTCCGATTCTTAAAGTACTGTAAATTTATGCTAATCTTATTGCCTTTTGATTTGATGGATGAAATTCATCCTTGATTAGTTAGAGAATTTTACTTAGCACAAAATTCACTTAAGTAAAATTATTATAAGATGTCCTAGAAATTTTACCCATATGATGATCCTTTTGATCACACATATACACGCATATTAATCCGTCACTGGGGTAGCTCTACTTGGATAGTTGGTTGAGCAAACCTACTGATGGCTCTATCCTTGTTTATTTCCTCTGGAAGTGGTTTTGGCAGGAATCCTAGGCTTCTCAGTGGGTTGACTTTCTTATGAAAAAAATCTTCTTTGGAGTTAGCCAGTTGGCTGTTCTCTCACTGGTGTACTTCTGAAGATAATCATGATGGATGACCATAGGCTTGGATTGCTTATCCCTCTGGATTATGTAATTCACGTCGTTGATTTTTTTCAGTTCAATATATGGCTTTTACTAACACCTGCTTAAATTTATAGTTCATCTTTCATTGCAGCAGTGATTGTACAGCCATACTATGTCATCTCAATGAAATCTAACCTTATGAGTATTATTATCATCATAGAGACTTTTCATTTTATCACTAGTTTATTTAAGTCTTTCCCAAGTAAAGCCATGTGTGACCTCAATGACGTTCCTTAGTCCCTTTGCATGTTCTGTGTAAGACTCTGCTGAGTGACTATTCTTGAGTTGAGAGTACAGAAGATCCAATAGCTTTAAGTTCTGTCCCAAACATGAATGATGATGGTGTTTTGCCTATAGCTTCATGTACTACTGTATGATAACTCTTCACTAACAGTGGAAGATCTTGATCTCAAGTTTTCTGAATATTCATTCACATAAATTGATTTAACAGTTTATGGTTTTATCCCTCTACCATGCAGTCAGAAGATGGATTAAGGGCTGTTGTCTTCTTTGATTTGATCCCAAGGATCTAAATCCTTTCCACAAAGAAGGATGATTCAAAGTTCTGTCTCTGATCTGATTGAAGTTCCATAAGTATGTCATATCTTGAAATTGTTTCAATGACATGTTTACTTGCTAGAGCTTCTGCTTCCTGGATATGAACACCATTTGGTGAAATAGTCTATCACAAACATGATGTATTTATTCCCATGGTTATTTTGTGGCAGAGGGCCAAAAACATTGACAGCAACTCTCAAAATTTGGATTCCAACACAATCCTGCTGTAGCTATCCATGCTGTTTCCTTCTTGGATCTTTTGCTCATACCATATTTCAAATGTTTTACACCAACTTTCTATAAATCCGCTGTACCCAAGCCAATAAAAGCATTCTCTTACTTGCTCCAGTGTCTTTTTAACACCTACATGTCCAACCTTAGAAGGTTGTGGAGAGGATGTAATGCTTCATAATACAGAGACTGTGAAAGTACCATATGTAGTCATTGTTTCTGTCATTGGCATTTTCCAATTTTCAACATAACAAGCCCTCTTGTAAACATAATGAATCTCACTGTGTACAATGTATCTTTGTCTTGGGCTGTATGGAGCAACTGTATGTTTATGCTTTATTTTTGGTCCATGAATAATTGATTTCAAACTCGCATTTTTCAGTTGAGTGTTGGACCACGCTAATTCTTCATCACCACTCATGAATGTACATCTCAGTTATACTCAGCTACACTTTAGATTAGTAGTATTTACTATCTTGTGTTTTCATCTTTTCACAGTGTTTACATTCTTGAGTAACAGATAGTATTCAGGATAATGTGCCAGCATTTCCCTGGTTCCATCCAGGTTGATACACGATTTTACAGTTGTAGTTATGGAGTTCTTTGAAGTCATCTTGCTCTATGACCACCTGGATTGTGAAAATTCACCAGCCACTTCAATGCTGCATAAGCTGTTCAAAATGTAAACTTTTGCCCATATAGTTAATTATGGAAATGACTTAGGTCTCGAAAACTACTTAGTAGCTCTTTTTAAGTTGGACAATACCTCCTTTCTGCAACATTCATTCCCTTGCTATAGTAGACAATCACATATTACTTTACATGTTGTAATTGTGACAAAATGGCTTTCACTGCATCTGTGTCTAAAATGAGTGAATCTTCCAGAGTTCTGTATACCAATACAGGATTAGTAGTCAATTCCTTCATCACTTTGAATAATTGTTCACAATTAGCAGATCAACAAAACTTATTTTGCTTTTCAAGTAGTTTTTATAGAGAACAAAAATGATTTTTATGAAACAATAATAGTAAGAGTACAGTTCTAGAAATCTTTTATCTCCTGCAAATTCTTTGATGTTGATCAAATCCTGAAAGAATCAATCTTTGTTGGAGGTAAATAGTCACTCTCTTTCTGCTGACTTTGTGTCCCAAGAAACTCCTCTGTTGATGAAACAATTTACACTTCTTGGAATTCAACTTTCTTCAATTGATCCAGAACTTTACATAGCCCCTCATAAGCTTTATCAAAGGTCTTTCCATGTGCGATTATGCCATCCAAATAGACGAATATGACGTTCCAGTGTAGCTCAAACAGTGCATACTCCATTAACTTTTGAAATTTAGATGCTGCATTACATAATCCAAATGGTAGCATGAAAA